AATAACAAGTGAAAAAATTTTCAGCCTTATCAGTTGGACATTCCGGTTTTTATACTGCTTTTTTTTAATTCACTAACGCTCTAAAAATGAATATTTCAGCCGCAGTAAAGAATCAACGTTGGCGGATTTTGGTTCTTGACATCCTTTACGATCGGTTACGATGCCTAGAGTACGGAGACCTGTACGATTTCGTGAACTTAGTGAGTTTGATAGGGGCCGTATAGTGGGACTTCGGGAAGCTGGACTTTCTTTTCGCGCAATTCCAGTTATAGTGCAAAGAAGTGTAGACACTGTGGTTAGGTGTTGTCAGGCATGGCTTAGATAAGGCCGTACGCAAAGAGCAAGGGGCACTGGACGCCGCCGTAGAACAACAGACCGTGAAGATCGCCGCCTAAGATTATTGGCCTTAAGGGACCGTTTCTCCACTACCAGGTCCATTACAAATGAATGGTTTGCAGAACACGGAAGACCTATTGGCATGCGAAGTGTTTACCGACGAATGAGAAGTTTTGGCTTGTTTTCATACCGGCCACACTGGGTCCTCCCTTTAACTCGAGAACACAGACGTAATCGCCTTGAGTGGTGCAGACAACGGTCACTCTGGGATCAGGAATGGAACAGTATTGTCTTTAGTGACGAGTCTCGATTTTGTTTAGGCATGCACGATGGTCGTGCCAGGGTTAGAAGTTGACATGGTGAAAGGAGGAATCCACAGTTTTTTGTTGAAAGACATGTTCATCACACTGTTGGAGTTATGGTTTGGGGTGCTATAGCTTATGGTTCCAGGTCACCTTTAATCTTCATCAGAGGTAACATGAATGCGCAGCGTTATATCCACGAAGTTCTAGAACCCCATCTTTTACCCTATCTTGACACCCTGGCAGATCCAACTTTCCAACAAGATAATGCCCGACCACATTGTTACCATGGCCACCAAGATCTCCCGACTTATCCCCAATTGAGCACCTGTGGGATATGATGGGTAGGAGATTGCTCAATTTGAAACGTCCTCCTCAGACTCTAGAAGCACTTCGAGAGGAGTTGGTAGTTGCCTGGAATGAGATACCACAGGAGGACATTGACCACCTGATCAGAAGCATGCCTAGGCGCGTTGGAGAATGCGTAGCACATCAGGGTGCATCCACACATTATTAAAGGTCAAAGGGCTTTAAAGCAGTGCAATCATTTTGAAATTTTTATCATTTACTTATTATGCTTCATTAAGTACTTATACAAAATTTTATTAAAATAAAACCATTTAAACTGGGTGTTCGGATTTATATGTCACTTAGTATATATGCGAGAAACCATCGTTGCATTACCAACTAGTGCCAAAACCTGCAATTTGCGTCGGTTTTCGGCCAAAACTACTGAACTGAAGTACATTAAGTTTATATGATTATAAAGGGAATTGAAAGAGTTTTAAAATAAGGTATCATTCGACCCCCCTTTCCATTTAAGATTTTGGGGTTGGTATGACCCCCGCTTAGGGGGCTGCACGTGCTAAAGTGATTTTTTGCCAAACTTGTGTCCCCCGCGAAAACAAAATAGACGGGTCTAAGCGTTTTTAAAAAAAAAATTGAGGGGGGTCTGCCGCGTTTTCTTCTTCCCGGTGGGGTCCACTCCCATAGTCTTTTAGGCCATCTGTTATGGTTCTTTCTTTCCAGATGACCGTACCAAGCCGCTTTGACTATTTCGTATCCAGTATAGTTCCATCTACGTCCATTGCTTCTCTTATTAGTTCATTGCGTATATGGTCTAGCTTTGAGTGTCGGCTGCTTCTTCTCCAGAAGTCTGTTCTTTTCTTTTTATTTAGCTCCCAAGTTTCTGCTCCGCAAGTGCTGATACTTTCCACAATTGAACGATACTTAGCTTTTTTATTTATTTTTGTTATTTTGTCGCTCCATAGGAGCGAGTTTAGTTGACGTATCGCTCTTCTTCCCTGGGCTATTTTGTTTGCTACATCAGCGTTGCTTTTCCCATTTGATGCTCAAGTTACCCCTAAGTATTTAAATGTGTTGCAACTTTTGACAAAGGCATTCCCAATATCTAGGTCGTCAGATTCGTCAGTTCCTACTATCATATATTCAGTCTTCTGCATATTTATCGTCAGACCCCACTTATTGTATTCCTCCATGTTTTAAATACCCCCTTAAATAACTTGCAGCAATAAGACCAAACCATAATATATGATTAGACTATTATGAGATTTGCCAGAAAGTCAAAATCACAATAGACATAAATGCTCAAAATGTTTCTAGCAAGAATTTGTTACGTAGTTGGCAGCACTGGGTACTGATGAATTTGTTCATTGATGTAAACATCGCAAAAAATAATCAGCATGTCCTTGAAGAAATTTGTCTGATATTCGTGAAGAAATTGTTAATGTAAAACTGGTATAAGAAGTCAAAGTGAAGAAACCGTCACAGCCATAGTCGAGTATCTTGCAGTTCTTGCAGAGAATCACTTCAGGGAAGCTACAAATCAAACAGAAACTAGCTGGAATAATGTATCGAACTTAAGGAAGATCATATTGAAGAAAAGTCGTATCATATGAGATCAACTGATGTTATTTCATGTAGAATCAGTCAATCAATTTTTTATTTGAGACTTTCCGCCTCTTTCACCTTTCCGTTTTCAAAACCGATACCAATCAAAGGAGCTTCTGTGCAGGCCTCGCGTTAAATCTTTACATTCGATAAGGAGCTTACATGTCGTTCCATCGCCAAACGACAAATCCTTTGCAATCCTTGCACCCACCCTAGGGCATTCCGTGAGAGTATCTAGACTGAGAAGCTTGTACCAGATATCAGCCGGATTATATTATGTCACTTATATGACGGGACAGCTGCCAACACCAATTTCGATCTCAATAGACATTTTAGTAACAACTTTGATCGTTTAGGTGTTGTGATATTCTAATATACTAAGTGACATATAAATCCGAACACCCAGTTTAAATGGTTTTATTTTAATAAAAGTTGGTGAATGTATTTATCTTACTGTAAATACAAAGTGAAAAAATGTTCAGCCTTATCAGTTGGACATTCTGGTTTTTATACTGCTTTTTTTTAATTCACTAACGCTCTAAAAATGAATATTTCAGCCGCAGTAAAGAATGAACGTTGGCGGATTTTGGTTCTTGACATCCTTTACGATCGGTTACGATGCCTAGAGTACGGAGACCTGTACGATTTCGTCAACTTAGTGAGTTTGATAGGGGCCGCATAGTGGGACTTCGGGAAGCTGGACTTTCTTTTCGGGCAATTGCAGTTAGAGTGCAAAGAAGTGTAGACACTGAGGTTAGGTGTTATCAGGCATGGCTTCGAGAAGGCCGTACGCAAAGAGCAAGGGGCACTGGACGCCGCCGTAGAACAACAGACCGTGAAGGTCGCCGCCTAAGATTATTGGCCTTAAGGGACCGTTTCTCCACTACCAGGTCCATTGCAAATGAATGGTTTGCAGAACACGGAAGACCTATTGGCATGCGAAGTGTTTGCCGACGAATGAGAAGTTTTGGCTTGTTTTCATGCCGCCCACCCTGGGTCCTCCCTTTAACTCGAGAACACCGACGTAATCGCCTTGAGTGGTGCAGACAACGGTCACTCTGGGATCAGGAATGGAACAGTATTGTCTTTAGTGACGAGTCTCGATTTTGTTTAGGCATGCACGATGGTCGTGCCAGGGTTAGAAGGCGACGTGGTGAAAGGAGGAATCCACAGTTTTTTGTTGAAAGACATGTTCATCACACTGTTGGAGTTATGGTTTAGGGTGCTATAGCTTATGGTTCCAGGTCACCTTTAATCTTCATCAGAGGTAACATGAACGCGCAGCGTTATATCCACGAAGCTCTAGAACCCCATCTTTTACCCTATCTTGACACCCTGGCAGATCCAACTTTCTAACAAGATAATGCCCGACCACATGTTGCAAGAGTCACAATAGACTTCTTTCAACATAATGATGTCACATTGTTACCATGGCCACCAAGATCTCCCGACTTATCCCCAATTGAGCACGTCTGGGATATGATGGGTAGGAGATTGCTCAATTTGCAACGTCCTCCTCAGACTCTAGAAGCACTTCGAGAGGAGTTGGTGGTTGCCTGGAATGAGATACCACAGGAGGACATTGACCACCTGATCAGAAGCATTCCTAGGCGCGTTGGAGAATGCGTAGCACATCAGGGTGCATCCACACATTATTAAAGGTCAAAGGGCTTTAAAGCAGTGCAATCATTTTGAAATTTTTATCATTTACTTATTATGCTTCATTAAGTACTTATACAAAATCTTATTAAAATAAAACCATTTAAACTGGGTGTTCGGATTTATATGTCACTTAGTATATATTATACCATGAACCACGAAATAATATTAAAAGTACATTTGGATAATGGTTCACAGTTTTCCTGTGGTACCTACTTATTCTTGCGATTTACGTCTGCGGCTGCTTTCATAGGCTTCAGTGTGTGGCAAACGTTAAAAATTTTTAACCAGCTAATCCTAATGAATTGGGCTGACATTTTGTATAAACGTTCGGTTGTCATGACGGTACATATCAAATTAAATGTCAATAATTTGAATTCAATATGGTGAATGCTACATAATTGTCATATACGAGGGATGTCTTTTAAGTTTTGCATATAGAAACATAGTAGGTCGCGCGGGTCGAACGTCAGTACTCAGTCTTAACTTAAATTCAAAGTTTCACAACAATACGTGCAGTGTTCTCAATACAGAGAATTTTTAAGTGTCACCAAGTCATTAGAAAAATGGAACTCAACCGAGAACATTTTTGCGCCATAATTTATTACAACTTTCAGAGACAATTATCGCAACAAGAATGCCTTGCTGAGTTACTGTCTGTTTTCGGCAACGAAGCGTTATATCAGTTGGCAATTTCCCGTAGGTATGGAGAATTCAAACGTGACGCGACGATCCCAGGGTGGGTGCACCAAAAACGGCAGTCACCCAGGAAAACGTCGATGCTGTGCGCATTAAAGATACACATGACATATCGCGAGATTGAGGCATCCTTGAAGATCTCAAAGACCTCAATTCAGAAAAATTTACTGCGGATTGGTATACCATCATTTGTTTGCCAAAAGTCATCACCGAGCTTCGAAAAATCAACCCCGAAAGAAGAATCTTCCTCAGCCAAGACATTGTAAGCTCGCACACAGCCCAAAGAACAAGGCAGTATTCAACGGAAGAAAACGTGGGAATATTGGACCATGCTCCATGTAGTCCCGATCTAAGTCCTAACGATTTCTTTACTTTCCCGAAAATTAAAAACAGACTGCGTGGTCAAAGGTTCCAGTCACCAGAAGAAGCAGTTGACGCATTCAAAAATGCCGTTTTGGATCTGCCAGCAAACGAGGGGAATAAGTGCTTCGAAAATTGGTTCGAGCGCATGCAGATGTGTATTAATCTTCGTGGAGAATACTTCGAAAACAATAAAATCGTTTAAAACTACCTACCGTGTTGTTTTATTTCCATATGAAAAACTTAAAAGAGATGAGAAAATGTCCGTTTAAAGGAGGTGTCGGTGTAAGCGTAGGGGACTTTCACTGTATATGAATTGCGCTTACATGTTTTTAAAAGTAATGATAAACTCTAACGATACTGTGATATGCATAACTATGGAACAAGGAATAATAAGTATTCATATGTAAACTTCAGCAAATCAAAAGCAGCATTTCGATTGAAAAAAAATTGGTCCTTTTGAAATATTTACCAAGCCGCATTACGTCGATTAAAAGTACTAACCAGTTTGAGTTTCACTTGAAGCAATTTTTAATACAAAAATGCTTTTATCATGTTAACAAGTTTTTTAACATTTTAATTTAAGATTAGTTGCAGGCCGTAGCGTACGTAGAATTCACAATTCTAACTTTTCTGGATTCTTATTTCCAAAGTCCCTAGAGGGAACCATTTATCAACATCTTTTCAAAAACTTCGATCGTTCACATCAGTCAGACATTCCTTGGACTGCTAGAAACATGAATAAAGTGGTTTAATTCGATACTCATACACCATGAATATGTATTCGTTCCACAGTATCAATAGTTGTGCATGCATATAGCATATTTACAGAGAGGCGATACGGTATTCCACAAAACACGTGTGAAAGAGCATAAGCATTGAATAACGTGCTTCTGCTTCATTGTGTTGGTTTGTATGAAACGGTGCAGTATACGTTCATTAAAACTAAAACGATTTGATTTTGTTTAACTTGAATCGCGGCTGAAATGAACCGTCGGATGCCGGTTTTTTGTGTTAATGAACAGCGTGCTAAAGGAGCAGTTGGAGCTCATTCATTTGTTGCTTTTACGATCAGGATTTTTTTGTGGTAAACAGGCTTTTGCAGAATTTATTTCTGTGAGTGGCACTTAAGCCTGCTGTTATTTGTCATGCTTTCCGATTTTCTGTATAAAAGTAAATCGAAAATTCAAAGTTTTTGAACTTCTTATAATGCTTACAAAATTCAAAATTTTAAGTGAAAATCAATATGGATTTACAGAAGGGAAGGCTACATCGGACGCAATAACTAAAATTGTAAATCAAATACATCAAAATATTGATAACAGAATTGGTTTCAGAGGAAACGCGTACTCACTGATCGAAAGTTATTTGTCAAATCGCCCACAATCTGTGCAGATATCAGGATCATTTAGTAAAGAAATGTATATTAAGTGTGGTGTCCCACAAGGAACTGTCTTAGGTCCGCTGTTATTCAATATATATTTAAATGATATTTTCCAAATTAATTGTGTTGGCAAAATAACTAGTTTTGCAGATGATACTGCAATATTATATGAAGGCACTGACTGGTCTGATCTGAAAAATGTAATTGAAAATGATTTTATCAAAATTATTCGGTGGTTTAAGAGTAGAAAATTAAGCATTAACTACTCTAAAACACATTTTTTACCATTTGGATCTTATTCTAGACATATGCCAAATTACACAAATCTCTCCTTCAATATTAATGATCAAAAAATGCAAATTAATAGAGTGCCCAACATAATATACCTTGGAGTGGTCTTGGATCCTCACTTACGATGGGACATCCATGTCAATTATATTTTAAAGAAAGTTAGATTTGTATCCTACAAAATTAAATACCTTGGGAATATATTGACAGAAAAATATCTTCGAACATTATACCATGCACTGATTGAGCCTCATCTCACATATGGTATATTAGCATGGGGAGCTGCATGTTCCTCACATATCTATAATTTAGATGTCTTTCAAAAAAGTATTCTAAAAATGATATTTAAAAAACCGAAACTTTATCCCACTGAAAAATTATACGCAGATGTTCGAATGTATGATATAAGACAGCTTTATTTCTTACACAGTATCACTCACTACCATAAATTTGTAAACACCGACCAAAAAATTAAACATAATCATTATACCAGGTACAAAATTCGTGGCACAGTAGTTCCTCAACCGCATAAATCTATAATGCAGCGATCATATCTCTATTTAGCTCCTAAATTTTATAAAATTATACCTAAAGACTTAAAAGATTTACGTTTCGGAAATTGTTTCAAAAGAAATTTAAAAAAGTGGCTACATTCTATATCTAGGACTGAAATTCATAAACACATAAATACGAACATCAACTAAATACATAATCTACTGTAGCTAATTTTTGTCCTTTTTTGTCATTTGCATTCTACAGTTTCAACTTAAATTATTGGTCCATGTACAGGCGATGCCTTCTATTGGGCCTGTTTTGATTTTATATTTATTCACTCATATTGTTTGTTATCTTTGTACATTGAGTGAATAAATATTATTATTATTATTATTATTATTATTATTATTACATCTGGAAATATTGATATTTAGTTGTTCGTATATCCAAAACTATAAATTAACGGCAGATATGATATTTAACATATGCTGAATTTGCACTATATTCTATCATTATAAACATAAAATGATCCTGTGTCAATTTGGGACTAGCACCGACATTGTGCTGCTACTATTCTACCATAAGTTGGGTTCTACAAGACATTCTTATCATTCAGGGCTGTAAAATGTGTACTCAATTCCATACGCTTGTTGATAGGACACTGAACATGGGAGTTTTGCACGTCAAAATCATACAGTTATTTATTATACGAGGGGGTAGCAAAAAAAAACAGGAATTATTTTTTCAAAGCTATTTATTTTCAACTTTTTCACAAAGTAACTTTATTTCCTTCAATATACTGTCCACTACAACTAATACACTTGTCCCACTGGTGCTGTTGTAAAAATAAACAAAATTTTTCTTCAGCTACAATGGCATGGCACATACGATTTAATAAAGGTAACTAAAAATACAAAAACAACGCGCTATTTTAAATAAAAACATGTCCAGTTAAAAAATGCGTGTTCGATGGGAAGCCCGAGACTTAGACTCACTGACAATTTTATTAATGTTTGGAGTATAATTTGATACCGCCATTCAAATTAAATTATCGAAATGTTCATCTGTAAGTCAATTACTTGGATTTAATAAACTTCATATTTGAAAAAGAAGATTCACACAAACAGGTTAAACTAAATAACGCTTTCACTTCCAAGGCAACACGACTTAAAACTGAATATTTATCTTTACTTACCGAAGGCTAGTCACATTTTGTATTCGACTAATGATTTTAACGCTAAAACATTTTGAAACGCAATCACTTCCATTTCTGTCGCAGCGATGTCTGCATGTATAGCAATCGTTGAAATCCTTGAAACGATTTTTGAAGTTAGAAGAAAATGCCTGGTACCGCCATCGATTAAGTTTTGTTCCCCAAACTCAAGTTTTTTGATAACCGCTTTTATATCAGAAATTATTTCTGCTACTTCTTTGCCTCTCCCCCGAAACAGTAAATTAAGTTCATTTAATTTTTTTGTAATATCCACAAGAAAACCAAAATCCGTAAGCCAGATTGAATTTCGGAGTCGGAATCGGTGTATCACGTTGTTTGAAAATACGAACCATGGCATATATGATATCATTAAAACGTTTCAGCACTCGTTTCCTACTTAACCATCGGACTTCAGAGTGAAGAAGTAGTTCCCCGTATTGATAGTCAATTTCATCGGCCAGGGTTTTGAATAATCTCCTTTGTAACGCTTGAGCTCTAATCTTGTTCACAATTTTTATTACCAATTTCATAACGTTGTTTAGTTTTAGAAATTGTCCACATAATGCTTGCTGATGGATAATGCAGTGGTAACAGAGAAATTGCAAAAAACTTTCATCTTTACGGTATATCCCCATGAGACCCGTATCATGACCCACCATTGCTGGAGCGCCAGCGGTTGTCAAGCCTACCATTTTCGATATTGGAATTTTTTCAGAAGAAATAATATTTTTAAAAAAAGAAAACCAATCCTGCAGTAGTCTGTACTTTCAGCGGAATAAACTTCAAAAGATCTTCTGTAATCGTAAAATCACTAGTAACCATACTGACGAACACGACCATCTGAGAGGTGTCAACGACATCTGTGGATTCATCCAACTGCAGTGAAAAATAAGCACAATTATCGAATTCATTTCTTAACTGTAAAACTAATGGGTGATTTTTTTGCTAGTATCTTTTTGGCAACACTGTTTTTGACAGATGACGCGTGAATCGTGTCTTGTGTCATTGTCAAACTTGTTCAGTTTGGTCTATAATTTAACCATGAATCGACTTACGAACGAACAACGCTTGCAAATTATTGATCAAAATTCATGCTCGGTTAAGAGGGTGCATCGAGCACTGCTTCCAATTCATGGGCAATTTGGTCGGCCTACTGAGGGAGCTACTCGGAAGCTTGTGACTAAATTTCGAACCCAGTTTACATTATTGGACATTAAACCACCAACACGCAGACGTAAAGTGAGGACTGAAGAAAATATTGCGGCTGTATCCGCCAGTGTTAGTGATGACCGTGAAATGTCGGTTCGCCGCCGTTCGCAGCAATTGGGCCTCTGTTACTCCACTACGTGGAAAATTTTGCGACAGGATTTGGGTGTAAAACCTTATAAGATACAGCTGTTGCAAGAATTGAGGCCACACGACCTCCCACAACGTTTTCAATTTGGTAAATGGGCGCTGGCAAAGTTGGAGGAAGATCCACATTTTTATCGAAAAATTGTGTTCAGCGACGAAGCTCATTTCT